GAATTAAATAAGAGTATTCAGTGTGTTCAGTTGCTTAGTCTGTTCATTTAACATGTACTTCCCATGTCCCGTCTACTAACATGGGAGAGGCAGGATTTATAACCTACACTGCATGCAGCCACCAGGGGGCTTTTGGAAGCCATCATGTCGTCCATCTTTTCTTTTTCTGTGGCTGCCAAACACATTCATTGTCAGAATACGATATTACTTTTACTTTGTTTTCCTTTTCACGCTCTGCCGAGCCGTGTTTGTCATGTGACGCAGAGCTCGTCCGGGCCATTCACAGATTGTGTTTCTCTAAAAAAAGAAAATGTTATTTGAGACATTTCTGGTCTCAACTTAAATGTTTTCATCCTAATGTTTTTCCTCTTTCATTAAAACAGAGGTTCTAATTGTTGACACATTAAAAGCAAACCCAGAAATGACTCGACGTCTCCGTGTTGTTACGCTGGATTTTGTTTCGCTGTCAGAATAAACAACCTTCTCTACTTATCCTAATAAGCTGCACAGCAATTACTTTCCACAGAGCGGAGTGTAAGTGGTTCGAGCTTGTGTTGTGTATGCGGAGCATGTGTATGTTGGTTAGACAGATTTCCTACAATCTATCCATCATCGCCACATCAGCCATTGGTAAATGCTCTGGATGTGTATAGTGCGTAGTGTTGATGACCACTCAAAGTGCTTCACAGTATAGTTTTTGTACTTCTGGTTATGTTTGGGGTTCAGTATCTTGCTCATGGACACTTCGGCATTGCAGAATGGGTTCACGGTATCATCACGGTTTTCATCGACAACACTGAAAAGAAAATGAGGCATATTGAGAGGAGAGATATTTATAAGTGACACCAATTTACTGCGGTGGATCCAGTGAATTTAAATGTGGTTTCATTAGGGGACTGTTGGGCCTTGGCGGCTGTATGAGTGACATTCTATTAGATCGAACACCATCGAATTCCACTCATCGCGTAAAATATTCTAATACTCCACAGCTTTGTGGTACAGTGTGTATAAGTACATCGGATACGACAGCTGACATTGTACGCTTTAACCGTCTTTATGTATAATCCATTTTAATAAGTAAATAGGTAATTGTGAATTCATCCATTCAGAACTGATCTTTGTGCTTGAGCTCCCATCTGGTTCATTTAGAAACAACATAGATGAGACTAACTCGGTATCACTGATACACGCTGACATTATGTAAGTAACCTGGTTTCCCTCCGCTAACGCTCACATTCAGCAAACTGAACGCACACACACACACACACACACACACACACACGAGAGCAGTCTCTTACTTTGCCCTGAATTTACCCGTTCGCACACAAATAAACACGTCCTGCGATGATAACACTTATTTAAGCAGAATCCCCTGTCTTTCTCATGTTAAGATTTCCATCCCCTCGAGGCGCCGATAGCAACCATTAGAGCCTTTCATCTCCGCCAAAGCTAACACAGAGCGACAGAACCCACGGAGTCACAAACCAGGGGGAGGCACCCCGAGGCGACCGGCTCTAAAGAGTCTGTTTACTGCTCACTTAGATAACATCTACTGATCCTGAGTGTGTTCAAGTGTGTGTGTGTGTGTGTGGGAGCAGACCGAGGACACGCTGTTGCGTGTTCTTGCAGAGCCGAGGATTTTTCTGTGTCGGAGGTGGGAAGTAGCCGAGTACATTCACCTAAGTACTGCACTTATGTATAATCTGGAGTTCTTTGAGCGACAGTATTTTCATTTCAGGATAATTCTACTCCTCATGGTCAAATGCAGGTTTTTTGAATTATATTCATTTTATCGTTGTTAATATTTTAAAAGAGACAACTGGTGTAATTTGAAGCACGAGTCTGCGCAGCAGTGATCGTGGGGAGGAGCCGTGGTTTTGAGCTTCAGCCGATAAGCTCGACCAATCAGGATTCGGTTTCAGCTGTCAA